CTTAAAGAAGTCATCTTCAGACTCGAGTGAAGACTTGTTGTCATTCGAGTGTATTACATCAAGTTCGCGTAAAATGATTGGTCACTTTTACTATGACGCGTAACGTCAAAACAAGTCGTGGAGATCAAGTGCAGTGTACGCCTCAGCGACAATTCTCCTCGTATGGCGGGGTGAATTATTGTGCAAATCGTTGTCTCTGCGATAAATTATCTCTCAGGGTGCGTGCTCTGGTTAAAAATGTACGCCATGCCTCCTTATAGCGGAGCTCGCAGAGCGTAGCCCTATAATTATACCAAATATTAGTAACCCATCAAGCCGAAAAAATTTGGATGTACGACCCTACGACCGTACAAGGTTCTACTTTTGACATGCGTGGTCAACTGCACCACGGGCACGCCAACGCCTCGGCTTTGTCCAGTAGTCCAGTGGTCAGTTCACTGGGCTTCGAGTCGGACGACCTGGGTTCTAGTCCTAGCCGGGGCAAGGCGTTGTGCCCTTGAGATGTACAGGAAAAAAAATGCGGGCTCCGCTTTTAGGCTTGGCTAAATCTATACATTATAGTTGTGTTATGCTACAGAAACTAAACTGAGCTGCGGCAACTATGCGATTTAGCCCTCTGACTAAACATTTTTTTTTCTTGTTCTTTTATAAGTCCATCCTCTAGATATGCGCTTCTCGACACAGCTGACCTTCCCTTGACAATTAGAGAGACAACTGTGGATTACCAGGTAGAGTGAACTTAGAGTTAGATACATTAAATCTGCGTGCAATGTGCGTAGCACGCACAAGTTGCCCGTGTTTTGCGCGTGTGCAGCCGCAGCAGTACACTGTATGTTAAGTGGTTTTTTTTAAATTGAAAAATACAAAGGTGTGACTAACACTGTTGTGTTTTTTAGTTTCACAGAATTGTCCTGTTTCAAAGACTTCTGGAGGTAGGAGCAATCTGCGAAAAACATTGACATGTTTAAGTACTTAATATATTTTGTAAAATTTTGACATTGAGAGTACTTCCATTATTATTATCTTGTCATTTAGTGAGGCAGAAAGAGCTTTCGCGTCAGTGTATGGTATTTTGATTCATGTATGACTGTAAAAGAAATTCCATGTTTGATTGCTAAGCACTTTCATTCTAAACATTGTACTGTCCTATCTTAGGGTTATCCTTACACAAGAGATCGTATAGTACGAGAAGCCAGAATAGACATTCCTCCTTTCCTTAGAGGAAAGATATGGGCAGCGCTTCTAGGGATTCAGGTGAGAATGAGATAAAAAATTTTCCTTCGCAACGCCGAAGAGAGTGGCAGACGAAAAAGCATGATGCTACACGATGGACAACGGCTCGAGCCCTGATCGGATCATTGTGTAGGGTTGTTGGGAAAATCAGCAACATCGAAAGCGTTGTTTGAATAAGTGAAATAAGAAAGATAATAAATTTTGCGTTCATAACAAGGCGAAAAAACATCTTTAGTCATTTCATTCCCTAGCTCAAAAATGTATTATTTTTCTTATCATTTAAGGCAGACTTGTTATATTTCTCCTCAGGGTGATATCCAAGGTACATATGACGCTATTGACAAGGAATCTTTCACTCAAACAGACAGACAGGTTTGTTAGTCAATCTAGCCTAGCCTGTTTAACTGGCCTAAATAGCTTTGCCACTTTTAAGTTTTTTTGTGTTCCTCTAAGAAAACAAGTTACGTATAATAAGGGTTTTAATAGGAACATTCCTCATGCTAAGCCTTCCAGCAGTGTGATTGATGAGGCACCGAAGCAAAGAAATACTGGTGAAGTGAATGTAAAATCCGAAATTGTAAATACCACTTAAAATTGAATCATGATATATACTTTGGCGCAACTTGACTTACTATAGATTTACTAAAGTCCTCTCCAGTAGATTTTCGACTATTTCAGTGATATTTCCAATCTATTGTTTACTCTCTTGTGCTGCTGATTTCACTACCCGAAGATTTCCACACGAAGGACAACTTGTTTCAAGTGTAGTGATTTTTATTTGTGCATTTTTTCTCAGATTGAAGTCGACATTCCTCGATGCCATCAGTATGATGAACTGTTGTCTTCACCTACTGCTCATGAGAAGTTTAAGAGGATTTTAAAGGCTTGGGTTGTGTCTCACACCAGCTTGGTCTATTGGCAAGGTAATCAGTGTAGAGTGCTTTTCGGTTTAGTGAGAACGATAGAAAACATTACTGGAATTTTTTGAATACTCAAGTAACAACATGTTAAGTTCCTAAATCGTGGAACAATGCGAGTGGCCAAGTTATGAAGGGTTTTGGTTTTGCATCTGATAGGTGGAGAGGATGTTTGTGGTTCTCTGTGTGGTTTACATGAAACTGTTCTGAACACTCTAAAAGCTTGATTTTGGAGCAATTTTCAAGTTAGAGAGGAAAGCGATCCTGGTTTTCCTTTTTCTTAACTTTGCTCGATGATTGGTCCGGAAACCTCACGCCATCCTTTCAACCAATCAGATGCAAAACTAAAAAAGATCGCGACTCGGTCGCCCGCGTTTTCCCGCGCTTCAAGCAGGTTGTCTGTTTTAACTTTGAGTTCTCATTGGTTAATGATGATGTTAATCTTTGTTGTGATTGATAGCTGTGATAACTTTGGTTTCAGTTTTTCGATACTCAATTAAAACTGCGCTATAACCAGTTTGATTTGTTTTTGCTCTTCTCAGGTCTGGATTCTCTCTGCGCGCCTTTTCTTTCACTCAATTTTAACGACGAAGGTAAGAAAACCGATGGTTAAAAATAAGCCAGAGTGATTCAGGTTTGAATTTCGTGTGCGACCGACTATTGTATGATTTCTTACCTTCACAGCTCTTGGATACGCTTGTCTGGCGGCTTTCATTCCCAAATATCTTCATAACTTCTTTTTGAAGGACAATTCAGCCATTATACAAGGTGAGCGGTCGTATCGGTCGTTTAAACATCTTTTGCTCCATTTTCAAAAATCACTAATAGTGCGGTAATCCCATTTTTTGGGCAGAATATTTGGCAGTGTTTTCTCAGCTTATCGCCTTTCATGATCCTGAGCTTTTTAATCATCTTCATGAAATTGGATTCATCCCAGAGGTAAGGATGATTTGTAAAACAATAATTTACATACCTCTCAGCTATTATATATATTTTTCCGATTAGGAAAGCGCGTGTCATATGTCGCATGATATAATCTTCAGATATCCCTTCGGTGTCTCTGATTGGTGATTACTCCTTAATGCCAAAAAGATAGCAACTAATCATAGGCACTGCACATCTGTTAAATTTGTCGGGTCCAATTTCTCCCTTTCTCTCGGTCGGAGCAAATTGTGATACCATGATGATACCATTCCACAGTTATTGTTATAAAACCTATTATCATTTGGTCTGGTTTTTTTTCCACAGTTGTACGCAATTCCATGGTTTCTCACCATGTTCTGCCGTAAGTATTCGGGTAGATTAGTTGTCTGACGAAGGGCTAACGCTCGAAACGTCAGCTTTTAAACCCTTTACGTAGGCCAATTTACGTTATCAACACAGTTGATAATACTAAATTACCCTTTTATACTCTCCCACCGACGCAGTACCACAGTTTCTTCAAAAACTTACCCCATTTCTTTTAACACAACTATTTCCTAGCTGCAATGCGCACTATTCCCATCCAAGGGTGGCAATACTTCTTAACGCCTCTCAGCTAAAAACCAGTGTGAGCTCCAGCATTCTGTTTTTGACTCAAAAGCAGACTTCGCCTCCTATCTTTTCCCCTTTTTATTTTTCAGACGTGTTTCCTCTTAAAAAGATTTATCACCTTTGGGATACTCTGTTGCTAGGCAACTCATCCTACCCACTGTGCATTGGTGTCGCTATTCTAGAGCAGCTACGAGATCAGCTGCTGTCGTTTGGTTTCAACGAATGCATCCTTCTGTTCTCTGATATGCCAGGTAAGTTGTTTCCATTCAGTGAGTTGTCTCCTGCTTTCCTTCACCATTGGATGGTGCATGGTCATCGGAACCCCTTTCCCTCAGACGTATACACTCTTGCTGTCACAGGTCATCGCGGTTTCCGTAGCAATCAATCAATCACGGTCATTGTTACTTCTCCAAGAACTGACGATGGTTAATCTTAGGTGGCCCCGACCTTCCCCCCCCCCCCCCAGCATTTTAAAAAATTAGGTCTCCCTTGCTGGGTGGGTTAGGAAACGGAGTGAAGTGTCCCACCCAGGTATACAACACATTCACATGGACAGAAGTCGAACCCAGACCCCTCGAAATGTAACAGACTGTAGTTGTTATCTTATTTCTTGCATTTTAGGAGTCGACATTGATCGAGTGGTGCGAGACGCTAAGAGGATTTTCTGTAACACTCCGCGTACAGCTTCAATGAGACGACATGACAGAATGTATAACGATCCAAATGTGAAACATGTAAGACTTGAGCAATTTTCAATTGAATTTCTAAAGTGACCCCCAGATTGCTTCGCTTTACTTTGCATAGCTCTGTGCGTGACTGGTCCAGAAACTCGTAGCACTCTCAACCAATCAGATGCAAAACAGAAACCAGTCGCGTTGTAGTCATCCGCGTTTTCCCGCGCTTTCGTGTTTTCCTCTGAGAACTCATTTGCCCTTTGCAATATATTCCTTGTCCCCCATAAGTTTCAAAATACAGTGCAACACAAACTCGTTTAACAAAGAATTTTGCAAAATTCGTTCCTCTTCTTGTTAGGAGAAAGAGTTTATTCCGCTATCACAGCTTAAAGCTGAAATCTGTCCCCGGATTTCCGCTCAAGATCTTGTACACATTTGTGAATTGGACGAAAATGGAGGTGCCAGAAGCCCAAGGAAAACCAAACCTCGTGGTCTGATCGTAGATGTCAGGCCGGCGGAGGAGTATCCTTGACTCAGTAACATTTAGACGGTTTAAAGCCATAGATATGTGGTTACAGGGGCGTAGAAGGAAATACAGGAACTTTTCTGCGACTCGGAAACTTGTGTTATACGCGCTAATCTTATAATGATTAATAAGCACGAGCGGATTTACTCGATAAGTAGAAGAAAATATGATTTCCAGCTGTGTTTTCCTTAATTCTTTATCTTTCAACGTAAAGATTCGCATGTGGCCAAATTCCCGAGAGTGTTAACATTCCTTACAATCAGGCGTTCCTCGAAGAGGGCGGACTGGCTCCATCACCGGCAGCAAATACACTGACTAGCTTCAAAGGGAGAGTGATTGTTGTTGTGGGAAATCGCAATAATTACCCCGCTAAGGTAGAGCAAAGTTAATCAGTCATTGAGTACGGTGATACAGCTGATAGAATCAGCGTATTAGACGATAATACGATGATGCGACTCCGCAAGCGACTTTCAGTTGAGTGTCGAAAGAAGATTCAGGCTTTACTTTACTCTGTGATTGGTCCAGAAGTCTCGCACTGCTTGCTTCACCAATCAGGCACGAAACGTAAACCAGTTGCGTCCCATGGATACACGAGTTTTCTCACGCTCATTTCATTCTCAATAACAGGTTTGGTTATATGAAACTCAGTCGAAAAGCGCACCAGGCCTAAAGATATCTTTTCGTTTTATTCTTTAAACAGGTTGGTACTGAGCTTGTTCAACTTGGATTTTCGAGAGTTTGTGTCTTGGAAGAACCAGGGTTGTCAATTCTTCGCACGCGTGGACATCTTGCAGTTCCAACTTAAGTATCTGTGAGGACGTTTCAGTTGGAAAACACATTCTATTTCCTTAATGATATTCAGTTCAGCCAATAATGTGGTAGTCTTCAATGCTCACTTAGGCATGAGTTGTCGCGTGGTGTAAAAGAGAGTTACGCTATTGATAAAAATTGTAGGCCGTCAGTAATTATTTATCGAAAGTTAGTCCAACGGGAAGGGAAAAAAAGCAAGATTTGAAAGTTAATTTTTTGGTACTGTAATAGTTATGAGATTTCACAAATAACTTTCTCGATATCTGAACTCCAATAAAATGTAAATTTATGAATGAGGGTAATTTCTCAGGAAATTATGGTTTCATTTTTTTCTTCTGGGAAAAGCAAAGATTCTCCAAGGATTACATTTGATATATTTGGTTTAGTAAGTTGTTTCTTAATGCTTATTAGGCAATTTAAAACGGCCGGAAAACTTGGTAGGGCGTTGTTGCAGAGACATTTCACGAAGTCAAGCCAATTAACAATTGATTCATACGTCAGCGTGCGTTCATCGAGCTATGAAGCACGCGGGAAGTTTGGAGAGCACGAAAGATGCGTAAGAGTTGCTCGAGGCGTAGCCGAGATGCGTAAGAGATGCGTTTTTTCTCAAGGGATTTGTTTGCTGACGTCATGAGCGTGCACAATAGGAATATGAAGCACGTTCGCGCAATTGAATTTGATTAGACAAATTTACTAGCTATGTTATAATTTATATTTGACCAGTTGTTACATAATTACACAGGTGGTGTGTTCTTTCGCTATGTTT